TCGAGAAGCATCTCCTCGATGACTTCCGCGATCGCGGGCTCACTCTAGATTCTGCCCGCACAGCTGCATGCGACGCTTTGCGCCTCTCGTGCCAGTCCATTGGCAAATCGTTCACGCTGGAAGAAGACAAACCTGCACGGTCTCAACCATCCCCAGCATCAGACACCTCTGCGGCGCCATTTCCCCCGCAAGAAGCGCAATCCCGCGCGAAGACCATCTACAAGACCCTTGCAAAGGATCCGAGTCAGACCGACGCCGTCAGAGCGATAATCGCGTCCATCCGCGCCGGGGCCGAGAAGTATTATTTCGTCCACGGCCCCGCTGGCAGAAGCAAACCCACCGTCGCCAGTTACATCACTTACGCTGCTTTGGGGAGTGGACAGCGGGTCGTCAACATGGCCACGACAAGAGTCGCGGCCCTGCAATTGCCCTTCGGCGCCACGGCGCACTCTGTCTGCAAGATTCCGGTGTCTGACGAGGACGTCCTCACTTGCTCTCTGCCGATGAGCTCCCAAGGTGCCCGTACCCTCGCCGCGGCGTCTGTGCTCCAATGGGATGAGTGGCCAAATTCTAAACGACCTGCGTGGGAGAGCGTCCTCAAACTATTGGACCATATTCAACAGCACCACACTACCATCTGGAAGAACAAGGCTTTCGTCTGCTATGGGGATTTCCGCCAGATTCCTCCTGTGGTGAAAGGAGGCACGCGGGACTCTATCGTCAACGACAGTGTTCGGAAATCTGCTACATGGGAGCTTTTCACTATTTACGCTTTGCAGGTGAACCACCGACAACACCGCGACGTCGACTACGCTACCTGGGTTGCAAGCGTCGGCGACGGCACAGCCCCGTCGACACATCATCTCTCCGATGAGCCTGGGCGCTACGGCGCACTCGCCTCGCCTCGCCTCCGCTCGCACATTTCCCACACACACACATCGCGCCCAGAAACATCGTAGGTGCAAGGATCAATATTCGAAGGCGAAGCGCAGCGAGCCTTAACATCTTGTATAAATATATGTGTGTATGTATATAGATATATACCTATACGACCACCCTTCGGGTGATAAGGAGGTTCGGGGGGGACGGAAACAACGTCTCACCCGATCGGTCCCACTATCGATCTCACTATCGATCTCACTATCGGTCTCGCTCGATCGATCTCACTCGATCGATCTCACAATCGATATCACTCGATCTATTTCATTCGATCAATCTCACAGTCGATCTGACTACCGATCTCACAATCGATCTCACTATCGATCCCACCATCGATCTCACAATCGATCTCACATTCGGTTTCACTACCGATCTCACTACCGACATCACAATCGATCTCACAATCAACGTCATCATCATCATCATCAACATCATCGCCACCAACGCAATCAACATCATCATCATCATCGGGACACCATCATCATCGTCGCCTCATCACCATCAGCATCAACATCATCATCACCATCATCATCATCGGGACACCATCATCGTAATTATCAACATCACCATCATCACCATCGGGACACCATCATAATCATCATCAGCAGAACACCACCACCATCATCATCTCATCATCATCATCATGAACAACATCAGTAACATCATCGTCATCGGGACGCCACCATCCTCATCAGCAACATGATCATCATCAACATCATCATCATCATGGCAGCACCATCATCATCGTTACCAACATCATCACCATCATCATCATCCGGACACCATCATCATCATCAACATCAGCATCATCATCAATATCATCATCGGGCCACCATCATCCAAACCATCATCATCACCTCATCATCATCCTCATCATCAACATTATCATCGGGGCACCCTCATCGTCATCATCATCATTCTCATCAGCATCATCATCATCGGGACACCAGCATCATCACCATCATCATCAGCATCATCATCCATATCATCATCACCATCATCATCATCATCGGGGCACCATCATCACCATCTCACCATCAGATCATCATCAGCATCATCAGGATCATCAACATCATCATCATCGGGACACCATCATCACCATCATCAGCCACATCATCATCATCATCATCATCAACATCATCATCGTCATCGGGACACCATCATCACCACCATCACCATCATCATCATCATCATCATTATCAACAGCATCGTTAACATCATCATCATCATCAGGACACATCATCATCACCACCATCACCATCAGCATCATCATCATCATTATCATCATCATCATCATCATCATCAGGACACCGACGGGACATCGGCGGGACACCTGCGGGACACCGCGCGGCACCGGACGCCAGAAGGGAGTCATTTGGTCCGGCCGCGCCTCAGCCACAGCGGGACACCGGCGGGACACCGCGCGGCACCGGTTGCCGGAAGGGAGTCATTTGGTCCGGCCGCGCCTCAGCCACAGGAGACTTTCTTCTCGCCCGCCCACGTAGCTTCGCTTCGCCCGCACGCACGGCACGCACGAACACGAAACCGAAATCGATTTCCCGGTAGGGGGGCTCTCCGTTCCACTTCGATCTCACCCCCATCACCTCCGGTATATCATATATATATATATATACCAGACTGCAGTGGCGCTTCGCGCCATGCACCTTAGTCCTTTGAGTGTCACGCGCAGGCGGCGTGCGTGCGCGTGTACCTTCGCAAATGAAGATGCGAATGCACGTGTACATGCTCACGTGCGTGCACGCTGTACATATATACACACGCATTGTTTGTATGTGTAGATATAAAGATATGATTGTATGTGTATGCTGTTGTTTATATACAACGTCGATTTATGAGTGCCCGTACATATGTACCATGTCTACTTGTATATGTCTACGTGTATACATATGCATGCATGTATGTATGTACACGTACATGTGCACTCGCATGCGCGCGCGGGATGTACCGCGTAAATTCGCTGGCCCAACGGGCCAGAGGCATGCTAAGAGCTCCGGCAACAGGTTTCGAACGTTTCTAATTCGCGCGTACGTGGCGGCCCCTGAGGGGGCCCAGTCCAAAAATACCCCGGGCAATGCTGTTCAAGGATGCAGGAACTCTTGGGGCCCGTCTTCAAGGCTCTCAAGATCGTCGAAGTGGGCCCCAAGACGCCCGATGATCGCTCCAAGACGCCCAAGATGGCTTCCAGATAGCCCAAGATGTCTCCAAGACGCCCCGAGAGGCCTCCAAGCGCGCCCTCAAGAGGGCCTAAGAGGCACAAATCACGGCCTCTTGGGGCGTCGCGGGGGCGCCAGAGGAGCCCCATGGGAATCCTGGGCCGATTTTCAGGCGGTAGGCTCGACATGTAAGTTCGTGTTCCCTTTTCCGTGGTTTTTTGGGGAAACCTTCTTGAGGCTGTCTTGGCCCGTTTTGGTCGTGTTGGGGGTTGTATTGGCGTTCTCTTGGGCTGTCTAAGGGCCCTCTTGGGTCATTCCTCCTCCTCCTCCTCCTTCTCTTCATCCTCCTCCTCCTCCTCATCATCCGCCCGTGTTCCTCCCGTCCTACTCCTGTCCTCCTCATCCTCCTTCTCCTCCTCCTCCTCCACATCCTCCTCCTCCTTCTCTTCCTCCTCCTTCTCTTCCCTTCCTCCTGCTCCTCCTTCTCTTCCTCCGCCTCCTCCTCCTCCTGTCCTCCTCCTCCTCCTTCTCTTCCTCCTCCTTCTCTTCCCATCCTCCTCCTCCTCCCGTCCTCTTCCCGTTCTCCTTCTCCTCCTCCTCCTCCTCATCATCATCATCCGCCCCTGTTTCTCCCGTCCTCCTCCTCCTCTTCCGCCTCGTCCTCCTCATCCATTCCTTCTCCTTATAACTAACTTCGCCCTGTCGCACCCCGAAGCTAGTTTTTAGGGCGGGCCGGGTGTTTCGCCTGAGACTTACTCACCATTTATGATTCTGAAGCTTACAAAGTGACAACAGTTGCACAGCTGAAGGGCGGGTAGTTTTCAAAATGTGGCTCCCGCCCTAGCGCCGCGCACATTAGTTGTGAACATTTGCAAAAGCTTCACGGATTGAGGGCGGGTCGTTTTCAAAATGTGGCTCCCGCCCTAGCGCCGCGCACATTCGTAGTAAAATTTGCAAGAGCTTCACGGATTGAGGGCGGGTCGTTTTCAAGATGTTGCTCTCGCCTTAGCGCCGTTGACATTCGTTTTTAAAAAAGTGCAAGCTTTTCACGGATTGAGGGCCGCTCATCTTCACAATGTGGCTCTCGCCTTAGCGCCGAGACAATTGCAACAAGAGTTTCATGGATTTCCATGATCAGCGCACCAGAAAGGGTATTTGGGACCGATTCAGGATTATGCGGGTGCAACAGTTATGTTGATTCGCGGTGTTGAACTCACAAAAATTCTTAAAATAGGCTTGCCCTATAGGAGTCCTAGCTCATCATAAGCAATTGGTCTTTAGGACCCCCCCCCTTTCCAATGGCAGCCCCCCTTTTTCCAATGGCACCCCCCTTATTTCCAATGGCCCCCCCTCCCCCCCTCCCATTCTCCAATGGCACCCCCCCTTATTTCCCATGGCACCTCCCAGCTATTTCCAATGGCGAGTCCTTGCACTTGCGTGCTTGCTTGCTTGCTCTTGCTTTCCTTGGACTTGCATGCTTGCTCTTGCGTGCTTGCTCTCGCTTGCGTTCTCTTGCTTGCCCTTGTTTGATTGTACTTGATCGCTGGCTCTTGCCTGCTTGTTATTGCTCGCTTGCGCTTTCTTGCTTCCGCTTGCTTGTTTGCGCTTGCTTGATGTTGCGCCTCCCGTCCTCCTCCCGTCCTACTCCCGTCCTCCTTTCGTCATCCTCTCATAGGAAGAGGAGGAGGAGGAGGAGGAGGAGGAGGAGGAGGAGAGCGCGACGACGACCGCGGAGACCGACGAACAGTTCGCAGAATCGTGAAGTCGTTCGACTCCCCACGGCGGCAATCCAAGCAAGCACTCGCACACCAACACACACACAAACACACACACACAAACACACACAAACACACAAACACAAACAAAAACACACACAAACACAAACAC